GATATATTTTTCAAAAGATATCGTACATGTACATTTTCTATTTTCTCGTTTCATTCTCTTACTTTTTCCTTTTCTCACCCATCCTTCTATTATCCCATGATCTCACCTTCCTCTCTCTTTTCTTTTTATTTTTTTATTTTCTCCCATTTTTATTTTTTTCTCTATTTGTTTATTTTTTTTATTTTTTCCTTTTTGTTCACTTATTTTTATTCATATTATATAGAAAAGTCTGCGATCCCAGAATTAGGAGCCATATTTTACTATGTGTAGTGGAGATTATATTAATGAGTTTTTTAGTCCACAAATTAAATGAATTTGAACAATTAATTATTATTTTTTAAATATATTAAATACTTGATAGACTTCATAAATTTAGACTTCATATGAACCTTCAACATATTTTAATAAAGCAGTATGGTTTTTGAATCTTCAACAGATTTTTGTCCTATTACGACATTTGGATGGCTCAGATCTCTTCAAATTATAAAACAATGGCTGAGATATATTTTTCCAAAAAATGTTCTACATATACATTTCTACTTTCCTACTTCTCTCTCTCTTACTTTTTCCTTTTCTCACAGCCATCCTTCCATAATCCCATGATTCTGCTTTCCACTCTCTTTTTTTATTTTTTTTATTTTCTCCCGTTTTTATTTTTCTCTCTATTTGTTTATTTTTTTTATTTTCTCCTTTTTGTTTAATATATTTTACACATATTTTCATACAATGTATGTATGCCCGTAATACACTAGGACATTATGGGCATACATACAATTTCCATGTAATTATATAAACAAAAGCAGTATTGTATATATGCCCGTGAAAATTGTATGTATGCTAGGCATATCTATTTATCTAGCTATATATTATATAAGCACAAATGAGTTTTCGTGAAGAATTTTGTGAGAACTCCAAAATTTAATAATAAATTTGTGACTTTATCAAATTAAAAAATAAATTTAAATAGTGTTGGGATTACAATTATATTCTAATCCTAACGCCTTGCTTGGTTTCCTATTTTTCAAAACACTTTTCAGAAAATTCAACTTTCTTATTTTCCGTGTTTTTTTGTTTTTACTGAATTTTTTTAATATTTTAAGCGATTTTTTTACTTTTTAGACACACCTAACATAAATACACCTAAAAAGTAAAAAAATTGTAAAAAAAATCTTTTAAAAATTCACTAAATACCAAAAATACAAAAAAAATACAAGAATAAAAAATACAAAAATTCAGTACATTTTTTATATTTTTATGTATTTATTAATTTTTTAAAATATTTTTTCACAAATTTTTTACTTTTTAGATACATCTAAGTAAGGTGTATCTAAAAAAGTAAAAAAAATGTTTAAAATTTAAAAAATATTCACTAAAAACAAAAAAACACAAAAACCAAAAAAGTTAATTTTCAAAAAACTTAATCCAGAAAACTCAAATCAAACACAATGAATACTATTTACATCGTGTGTAACGCCCTCAAAAATAACCCATTATATATCATTGACATGCATTATTTAAAGAAGACAACTTCTTAATTCATTCATCAGAGTATTACTAAATAAAGCATTACATGTAACATCGAATAAAATGCCCCACAGGCTTACATCTTTAAACCAAAAAAGTTAATTTTCAAAAAACTTAATCCAAAAAACTCAAACCAAACACAATGAATACTATTTACATCGTGTCTTCAGACACGGGCATACGCTAGTATTCATACATATGAAGACTTCACAAAATCATACATATAATTAAATATTTTATTGGCTGAATTACATTGATAGTCCCTATAATTTGTCTTTGTATTATTTGAGTCTTTACACTTTTAATTGTTTCCATTTTGACCCTTACTTTTAGATTTTGTATCAATTTGATCTAATTGATAATATTATTAGGGTTTTTGACCCCAAAAAAAAAATATATATCACTGAATTTGTTGAGATTAACTCACTAGCTTGAAAAAGTATACAATTTCATCCTTAGAGACATGATACATGCCGCTCATGTGGGCATTTTTCATCAAAAAAATACTAATAATTATAATCAATTTGACCAAATTAAGGCAAAATCATAAATTCATAGTCAACATCGAGCTAATTGAAATTATAAGGACCAAAATGTAGAGATTATCGGCATAATTTACCCCTTTTTTGTATCGGCATCATAAATTCATGGTCAACATCGAGCTAATTGAAATTACAAGAACCAAAATGTAGAGATTATCGGCATAATTTATCCCTTTTTTGTATCGGCATTTTTTATTTTTTATTTTTTATTTTTGGTGATATTTCTTCTACTTTATCTAACGGCTCAAACTAAGACAATGTCGATGTTGTGTAATGGAAAGGAGTGATTCTACCAAACTATAGCATTTATGCATTGGAGCGGGATTGCTATAGTTTAACATTTCGTCGACATTGTGTAATGGAAATAATGATTTTGCCAAACTATAACATTTATGCATTAGAGCAAAATTGGCATGATTTGACATTCTGACACTGTAGCACTACTACAATTTAGCAATGGCATCCCAATATAGCAATTGTACATTGGAGATACACAAAGGACCCCAACCCAAATGCCAAACCTTGATCTTATATACGCATATAAGTCGTTCCTTCTTTTCTAAGTGAGACAAGCACCATACACTATTCTGTAGGAAACCCACCAAATATGGTTTCCATGAAGCTCACTTTCACATTGATTTCCCATTCACTTGTAAATGGTTTTGTCAAACCAATTGCACAAAACTCACCATACAACATAGAACACATCAATGCTCAGACCCATCTAAAATAGTGCATGGGTCCCACTTTAAATTTAGCTTAAAGTTAGCTAGAAACATGGTTTACACAAAATCATTTCTCACAATCTCCTATATGAGTGAAATTAATGATAAAGACATGCAACAATGTGCAAATAAAGAGAGTACATAAAAAATAAAATTAAAAAAAAAAGATGCACTGCATCAAGATAGATTGCTTTTGGTTTTGAACCTTTCCTAGTAGAATCCTATCAGACTTACTGGCTAATCAGTGGACACATTGTTTTGAACTGTTCAATTGTTGATGTAAGCCAAAACAATAGACCACATAGAGTATCCCCAAACATGGTTTGGTTCTCACGGTTGTGTTCAATTTGGCACTAAATAACGCCTAGTAGTTCATGAGTGCTCTAGAGAATTTAGCATTCTCAATTTTCACAAAACTAGCCCAGTTCACTCATATATGTAATTTTTTATTAAGAGTATCTCGTTGTACTCCACATGCTCAACAACAATTGCAATGGCAATATGAGGATCTGTGGTGGCAAAGGTAATGGAGCAATCTAAGGATTTGATGATCCGATGGTAGAAGGAGAAAATGTGGCAACATTGTGTTTGGAAAAGGTGTTGTAGTGGGGTGAGGAGGTATTGAGGGTAGTGGTGAGAGTAAGGGAACACGCAAGCTTGACATTGAGGGAAATGAAGGAAAGATGAAGCAATATGGTAGTGAAGGGAAGTCATAGTGGTGAGAGACATGGTGATAAGAGGTTGTAGCATTGTGGTGTGGGCAGGAGGATGGGCAAATCTTAGAGAGGGTGAGGGGGAACAAAGAAGGAATCAAAGAGCAGAAAGAAGTTTACCCTACCAAGTTGAGCCATTTTAGCTAGTAAACCTATTTATACTAGGTTGATCCATTTTTAAACCAGTATATTAAGGGATAAAATAGAAAATTCAATACTAAAATTGCTTACATCATCACATTCCATCCAATCTTGTAATGGATCCCTAACAGCGTAGTGCGCAATGCAATGCAACTCAAATATTAAACGAGGTCAATGCCATATTTTAAATGTAATGGGTTTAGTTATAATTTGAATAATAGTTAGGGGAGGTTGGTGTAATTTTTTCAACCAAAACAAAAAAAACAAAAAAACAAAGAAGGGAATAAAGGAAGAAAGAGAAAAATGAATACAGGAAAAAAGTGCAAATTCATTAATACAATAGGGTGTTCAAAAAAATCGATGAAACCAATAAATCGATGTAATTCGGTTCATATCGTCGGTTTGGTCAAGATTTTGTTAGATTCGGTTATGATTCTAGTTCTAAAAATGGGGGAACCATTCAATTCGGTCAGTTTTCTGGTTCCGAGACTTTGGTTACAGTTTCAAATTGAACCGGACCATGACATTTGTTTATTTTTATTTTTTTATATGTAAAAATTAAAATATAAAAAGTTTCTTATAAGATTTGAACACTAGTCTTTATTATGAAATTATCTTAATTAAATTAATTATTGTTAATATGTTTATTGACATAAAATATTTATCATATTTATTGTTATATAAATTTTCTAGGACCATAAAACCAAACCGAACCAAACCGGTTTCTATGGTTAGGTTCTAGTTCAGTTCCACAAGTTTAGCAGTTTGGTTACGGTTTCAATTTTTTCGAAACTGTAGAGACCGGTTCCATTCCTAGCTTACTCTAAAACCAGACCAATCCGATCCATGTATACCCTAGATAGAAAGACTGGGAGGGGTAGAGAGTGATCAGCGACTATCTCATCGATGCCATGGGTTTGGGATTCAAGCGTGTACCATACCTATGCATGACATTGTTAGCTGTGCAAAATGATACGTAGATTAGTCTTCATTCCTAAAAGTGAATTGTTCTTAAGTTTATCTATACTAATTTGAGCAATTGTTGGGACTAATATCATAAACAGTAAAACCATACTATAAGCTTCTGTTCAAACAGTAAAACCCCATCCTAAATCTTGTTGTTTATGTCTTAGTAAGTATTCAAAAAATATATATATACACTTGCCCAAAAAAAAGTATTCAAAAAAATAATTTATCTACTTGTAAATCATGGGTGGGGTTTTAGGAATATACCCAAAAGGAGTTGCCAGCAATTCTTTATTTTATTCTTACAAAATGAACTCGTGATGATTGAATTTAAATTCACACTTTTAATCTTTCAGTAGATTTCATTATTTTATGCTCAAAATTATCAGTTTTAATGTTACTTCTCACAAATGCATTCACTTCTCAAATTGAGATGCTATTTGGAACTCCCCTCCCTGTCACTCCAGGTTCAGAAAATGGCTTCAAAAGCTCGTAAGGAACCACACCAGCTCCACATCTATTCTTCAAGTTCTTATCAACATTCCTACGATCAATGACTCCTTCTAGCTCCTTCAATTTCCCATTAAACCGTTCAAATGCCGCCTTTATAATTGGATTTTCTATCCATGATGCCTCCATGTCCTTACCGAGATACTCTTCATCCGTTGAATGATTAGATAACACATCCAAAACAGCCATGACTTTTGTAGCTTGAATTTGAGAAGGAAAGCACATCAAGAGGGCAACTTCAGGGTTGTTGATGAAACACTTCCACTCTTCATCAGTTGGATCTTCAGTAGGCATTTTGGTTCGCGCAATGGTAGGCCTATTGGGGAAATAACCTGCATAGATATATTGCCCGAAGTTGACAGCTGAATGGTGACCGGATGTTACCCAGATCATAGTTGTGAGAATTCCGATTAGATCTTGTGGGGTTTTCAACACTGGCCACCATGTTTCGTCTTTCTTGTCACCATGACCTACTGTTCGGATTTCTGTCCACCATGCTTGAAGCTCTTTGTCAGACTGTACAAAGCTTGCATCTAGGTAATAGTGTTTGACATAGTCTGTAACCCATTGCTTTATGGCATCCCAAACTAGCAGACCATCATTCGCGAAAGGGTAGTCCTCAATGGTTAGCCTTAGGCCATGCAGAGCTGTTGGATCCTCCACAGCCATTCCCCTAATAATTAGCCAAATTGAAGAAGTTAGCAAAAGATAATAACACTAATTAGCCCCTTCCCTAACCCAAGATAGAAAAACCATCAATTGACACGATTTTAAATAATCGTATTAGAGAAGAATTTTACGATCAACTATAGTATAAGGGTATTAGGAGTATATGGAGTGATACTTACTGAGAATTGGATAAGGCAATCATCAAAGTTATAAAATCATCAATCGCGAAAAAGGGTTGTACAACAGCCAAACCGACCGTATCAGTTGTGAACTGACTGTATTGATTGTGAATCAGGTCATGAGGTAACAATAGACCGGTATATGTTGGTAACCAACTGAAATGTATGCGATTTGTATTCCTATTGATTTACCTGGGTATGTAGTACATACCAGGCAATACAGGATATTAAAACCATGGTTGATGGTTGGTACATTTTGAGTTTTTTTATTTAAATAAAAAAAAGAAAAAATTATGGATTATTGATTCACATCAATTATCCTAATCTCACTTGCTTTGCTAGAGCTTGGCTGGTAAGTAAGTTACCTGCTAATTAAGTCAGTCGGTAGTGCTTGGAGATCGAAACGCCACTGTTGATCATAGGCAACAGAACTAAGCTCGATAGAGTACTTTTTGGGTGAGAAGCAAGTCTCAATAATTCCACCAGCATTAATGAGGGCTTGTCGAGCCAAAGCATTGATCTCCATTGTGTACCGAAAATGAGGGTGCAATAGCTTGTAAATCGGGTGCATTGCACTAAGTTGCCTGTTGCTCGCAATTATGTAAGGCTCTGTCATGCAGTGAGTTCTTAGCCTGCATGTACAAATTAAGTCGATAAAGGAAAGGAGAGGAAAGGAAAGGAAATTCATATATAATTGTTCTAATTTGAGAGAGCTTTGAGCAGTAAGTCATGGCTTGTATACATACCAGTGACTGACTAACTGGTGATAACCAGAGTCATGAGCAAGGGCATGAACCTTGGCAAGCCTCCAAAGCCAGCAACCAGTAGCATCCCCGGTAGGTGTGAACACTTGCTTCCACTGAGGCTTGCCGTCTACCGGTGGCCGAGTCAGCTCTATGGCTAAAGGCCTCAAGGTGCCATCAGGTGTTAAGAAGAAGAGTCCTCGACCCATACAGTGTTGTCCCTTTGCACTCTCTTACTTTGTTCACATAAGGTAACAACAAGTCATGGTAATCCAGCATAAATAGCTTCTTTGTTTGCAAGGCCTGCATTGCATATTTGCACCAAATTTCAATCTCAATCTTTGGATGCAAGGCTTAGGCATAGACAAATACAAATACCACATTGGTCTTTCAATAATTATATATTGCATTACCTCTTCAAGGGTCATGAACCCTCTGATCTGTCGCTCAATTAGCTCTTTGGTGATTGCCGATTCTGGTGGGCCGTATATCTTTGGGGCAAGTTTACTCTTCAATGGCCATTCCTGCATTCAGATGATCATATCATTTTGACATTCCCTTTTTATTTTTTTATTATTTATTTATTTATTTTGTGTGTGTCAAAAAACTGTAAAATGACATAACAAAATCTCTTAAGCTAAGACTTGAGTAGAAAATTTATTTAGTGCTCTTGGGACAAATATATAAGGTATCCTAATTTCTTTTTCAAGATTAAAATAAGGGGGAATTACTTGACAATGGGGTAAAGAAAAAAAAAATTGCAAAAATATGAAAGGTGAATCTGCGGTAGGATGCAAGTGAAAAACTATAGAGTTGCAAACTTGCACCCCTCTATATTTGTGTATTTTTTTTTTTATCTATCTAACTGTTAAGTAATTTCCCCTTAAAGCAATAGGACCCATCACTTATATTGGCTTTTGAGAAATAGCACAACATTGGTCACAATATGCATTGTATACAAGCATTGTTGCGACAACACACTCTCACTTTTTAGAACTTAGCATATAGATAAGGCATGAATGTGGAAAAATATTTGCATATGTTATATGAATATAATTGTACTACACAAGACATGAGAGATGTCGATTAATAGAGCGTAAAACACAATTTAATGTAGGTTTAGGGGAAAAAAATTGCACAAAAATGGTAAATTTTATAAATATTAATAATTAAAATGTTAAACTTTTTCATGTATTTGTAAATATTTTCTCAAAAATGCATTGAATTGCAATTCTCCCATTAATATATGTGTATTTTTATTTTATTTTTTCAATTTCTCATGTTTTTGTTTCCATATATTTTGTTTGAGTTTTACTATATGTCACAAAAAGATTTCACCTCCTATATGATTTCTTATATAACATGACAAATTTAATTACTCCCTCCGTCTCAAAATATTAGTCCCTTATTCCATTTTTCATTGTCCCAAAATATTAGTCCATTTTCAAAAATCAAGTACAAAAATAATATAAATTTCATATTTTGTCCTTCTTTTAAATTCATTAACAACCTAAAAAGTACAATCATGACATTGCGGTATTCTCAAAAAAATGTATTATTAAAGGGTAATTTGAAAAATCAATTTTTTTAAAGTGCAACAATTATACTACCAGAAAAAGTTAAATTTCTCAAAAATGACCATTATTTTGGGACAGAAGAAATATTTTCTTAAATATTGTGCCTCTTTTATCTCAAATCAGTTTTCCAAAAAATAAAATAAATAAATAAAACCCAAGGTATGCTAAAGTTTTCCCAATAATTAATTCACTAGATGGTGTGTTTAACTAGTAAAAATTAGTATCTAGTGTTGTCACATCATTAGTATAACCAGTCAATAATAACTCAACACAGAGAATGAAACCCCTTTTTAAGAGGATTGTATATAATTATGTAATATTTTTTGGTAAATTAAACCGACACCTTGAGGTTTAGGTTTATTACAATTTCTCCTCTCACCTTTTGGAAATTACACCTCTCCTTTGAGATTTAAAGTTTCATTACAGATTCCCCCCTTCGACAATTTATTTTTTTAAATACCAATTTTGCCTTAATTGGGTAAATTACATTGACACCCTTCATATGTTAGAAATTACAATCCACTCCCCAAGGTTTAAAATAGCATTACCAATTGCCCCCTCGGTTAGTATTAGTTGGAAAAAAAATTCATTGAAAAAAAAATTAATTGGAAAAAAAATTTAATTGAAAAAAAAAATTAATTGAAAAAAAATTTTGTTAGTAAAATTTTTAAATTTTTGTTTAAAAATCAACATAGACTCATTTTTTAAATTTACGTTTTTTTCTCAAATTTATAAATTGAGACAACTATTTATAAACTAAAAAAAATTATCAAACAGGTTTTTATGACAGTTTTTAAAATTTTTGTAAACATAAATTAAAAATTGAAAACGAAATGGTTACCACACAAGCCTCAGATGGTAAAAATGTGGTAAAATTAACAAATAATTAAATAAGTTACCAACGTAAGAAATGACTTGTCAAAAGATTCTTAGGTTATGTATGGTTTGATTTTTAGAATTTTTTTATAAAAAAAAATTAAAAATTAATTTGGTTAAGAAATAAAAAATAAAAAATAGTTATCATTTAAGGGTAAAAAATAATTATCATTTTAACTTTTGGGTAGGTTATCTACATACGTATGGTTGTTTCAATTTAATTTGTAAAAAATTATTTCTAACCACTCGAAAGATAAAAATTATATAAAAATGATAATTATTTTTTATTTTTTCTTAACCAAATTAATTTTTAATTTTTAATTTTTTTTTTCTAAAAATCAAACCATACATAGCCTATGAATCTTTTGATAAATCATTTCTTACGTTGGTAACTTATTTAATTATTTGTTAATTTTACGACATTTTTACCCTCTGAAGCCTGTATGGTAACCATTTTGTTTTCAGTTTTCAATTTTCAATTTATATTTACAAAAATTTTAAAAACTGTCATAAAAACTTGTTTGATAATTTTTTTGGTTTATAAATGGTTATCTAAGTTTTTAAATTTGAGGAAAAAACGTAAATTCAAAAAATGAGCTTACGTTAATTTTAAACAAAAATTTAAAAATTTTACTAACAAAAAATTTTTTCAATTAATTTTTTTTTTCAAATAATTTTTTTCCCAATTTATGTTCTAGGAATTAGAATTTCAAGAGATAGAAAATCAAAATTATTATATCTAGATCAAGACAAATATCTAAACAAGGTGTTCAAAAGATTTAATAAGGATAATTATAATTCTTTAAGCACACCTGTTTGCAAGGAACAAAGTCTTAGTAAAAGTATGAGTCCTCAAACTAAGTCTGACATTGAGGAAATAAGAAATGTCCCATATGCTCAGGCAGTAGGTAGTCTAATGTATGCTATGACAAGCACAAGACCTGACATCTGTCATGCAGTAGGATTGGTAAGTAGGTTTCAATCAAATCCAGGTAAGGAACATTGGCAAGCAGTCAAAAGAATATTCAGATATTTAAAAGGCACTAAAAATTTGAAATTATGCTTTGGTTTATGTGATCAAGACATAAAGGATACACTGACGCGGATTTTGCAGGAGATGTAGATGATAAAAAATCTACTAGTGGTCATGTGTTGTTGTTTGGTGGAACAGCAGTTTCTTGGTTAAGTAAGAAACAAAGTTGTGTTGCAAAGTATACTATGGAAGCTGAATACATAGCTTGTAGCACAATCGTGAGTAATATAGTCTGGTTAAAATGATTTGTTGATAGTTTATAATTAGGTATACCTACCAAACCAGTCAATATGTTTTGTGACAATTAGTCCGCCATCTCATTAATAAAAAGTGGAGCGAATAGCTCTAACGGAAAACATATTGATGTAAGTTACCACTATATTCAGGACATAGTGGACAGAGGTGAAATTAAAGTCAACTATATACCCTCAGAAGAGATGGTAGCCGACCCTATGACCAAAGGGTTGTCTTTGGAAAAATTCAGAGAACATAGAGCTAATATGGGATTGAAAAATGCCTAGCTAGGAGGTTTAGCTACTTATATAAGAGCATAGCCAGATGACTCTGGGGAAGCCTAGATAATTGATGTTTTGCAACTCTATCTTACGTGGAAACATGTGTTTGGTCAAGTAATAAGATAGAGGAACTGACAAGGTATGGACATTATAGTTAGCATGAGATGTAAAGTCCATGATATGCAATGTGCTAACTAGATGATGTTGTCTGCTTAATCAACAAAAAATCGTTGATAAGGTGTGTTAAGGAAAACCTTTAGGAATAGGCCTTGAAGGAAGTACTTAACAAAAATTTCGGCGCAGGTCGACACATGAGGAATGTGTGTGGCTGAAATCCTCAATGGTGATTAGGTATGGACTATGAACCCAACACTGAAAATTGATGTTGTTCATTTGAAATATAGTGAATTAAAGTCATCTAGAATGTGTTGTCAGTGGGAGAACACATTCGTACAGGTGCAGTCAGATTAGTGGAAAAAACGTGTGCACGTATGGCCAAGTCATAATCGGACGTTGATCTATGAGGTACATTCATAGATGAAAGTTGGCATGAGGCAAAATTTTGGTACCCAGGTAAACATGCCCAACTCAGGTCTTATCACCAATATTATAATGTGATCAAGTGAGAGATGAAGGCATGAGAGATGATCACACTATAATATGATGCACTCTCTCACACCAAATCTATATTATATGGTGGTCTACAAACCTTCCTACAAGATGAAATGAATAACCTGGAAGTTTGTTTGAATTTAAACACCAAGAGACACAATGTTTCATGACAGCATTGTGTCTATTTGTAACAGATAGTGACTCTTGGTTTGTATAAATAGTTGGCAAAGAGGGTTCCATTTTGCATTGAATGCCAACCTACATTAACACCAACCTACATTAACGCCAACTTTTTCTCTCCGGATTATTCCATCTTACGTGATAAACACCCTCCCGGGTATTCTGATCAATTTCCATTGTCAAGTTAACCTTACACTTTTTGCATGGCTTACAACTGTATAGTCCAAATCCATAGCCCGACCCAGAACAAGGGGTGATTTAGCCCAGTCCACATATCTTGGCACAAATTCTCCTTTCAATTGCCCTTTAATTCCATTTGCTTGAGCATGATTGGGATTAAGGCTATGCAAAATACCTCTCAATTCGTTAAAACCGCACCGATCTGCAACGCTCTGTCCGCTAATCGCGGTTTAAACTTTAAAATTTATAATTCACCTTCGAAACCGTTCTACTCCGCTATAGTTTATACATATATATTTTTTAACCTATAATGAAATATCAAAGTAAAAATGAGTGTGAAAGAGATTTAATATGCGAAATTTATTACAAATTTGTAGTTACATATATTTAAAATATTATGTAAAATTAGTTTGTGTTATATATATGAAAAATATTATTCAAATTAGTGCTATATATTATGCGGCTTGATAATTGGTTAGAATATTCTTCAATCTGTCCAAAATTGCTCAAAACGCATTTTGCCAATCTGCAAAGCTGCTAATT